CATTCTCTCTCTATCTCTATCTCTATCTCTCAGAACGCACACGAATTAACGTGCCCTCGTTCTGTTCTCGCATTGCAGGTACAAAGCGAGTTCTCGTTGCGTGAGCGTGGGCGTTAGCCGCGGAAACGGGGCGACTGGCTGTACCGGAGGCGGTTCAGGTACTGCAGGCGGCCGCGGCGGCGGCGGGGGCGGTGGTAGCCCCGGTAGGGGCGGCGGCGGCGGCGGCGGCGGCGGCGCCGGCGGAGGAGGAGGAGGAGGAGGAGGAGGAGGAGGTGGAGGAGGCGGCGGCGGCGGGGGAGGAATAGACGGTGGCGTGGTGCCTACTGCACCACCGACTACCGGCCATCACCACCACCACCATCACCATCATCATCACCTCACCACCACGACTACCACGACTACCACCACCACCACCACCTGCGGCACCAGACACCACAGGCACAAACTGCCTGCCGGCAAGCACTGCACGGAACACCGCCACGTACAGCACCGGCATCACCCACATCGCTCCCACCACCGGGGCATGAACATGGGCCAAAAGATTTCAGGTTAGCCACATGTTACAGAAACCAAAGCACAATATGAGTATTTGCACCCACCATTTCTAATCCTTTTCCTTTTAGCTTTACAGAACCGTTCAACACGGTCGACGTTGAGTTGCTTGCAACGGCATTATAATACACCTTGCTTGCAACGACATTATCTTTAAAGTACAATTAAGATTTAATTGAAGCTTTATTAATTTTTTTAATTTTTCTTTTAAACTTATTTATTTATTTATTTATTTTTTATTATCGGACAAATCCGATTTTTATCAATGTAAAACATTATGTTTTTACAAATTATAAAAATTTTTAATAATATTTGCCGATTATAAAAATTAATCATAAAAAATCGATATTTAAGTGTCTTCTATTATTTCTAGAAGACACTAATCAAGAACATATTTTAATTTCTCAAGCGTTTAAATTCAAAAACCTTGTTATATATTTTTTTAAATATGAACATATATACAGGGTGCTAGCTATTAAACCAGTTTTTTACTCTACAAGAAAATTATCGATTCAGCGATACAGATCAGAAACGTGGACAAATCGTACGAATTGCTGGATGCATTGAAAAAAAGCACATTTTTAATATCATTTAATACACAAGGCAACAAAATTAACGCAACACCTGTTCACTCTGCAAAAATAGGCAAATTTCAAGATACAATAACTTCGTCAAAAATTGTTGTATCGGGATGTTTAAAAAAGTATTTTACAGGTAGAAACCTCTACTTTTCGGTTCGCTACTTAAAAAAAACGGTCTCATGGAGATTTCATGAAATTACAGAAACATAAATAATGATATAAAATCTCAAAATTTTTTACGAAATTTGCGGAGTTCCACGGAGAGGACTAAAAATTATATAAATTTACATCATTCGAAAGAGCGAATCTTTATCTTTAATTTACTTTTTTAAGGAGCTCCGTACGATTTTTTTTCAAAAATGGTCCTTTTGCTTCAACATTGAATAACTCGATGAAAAAAAGTCGTACGGAGCTTCGTAAAAAAGTAAATTAAAGGTAAAAATTTGCTCTTCCGAATGATGTAAATCGCATTTGTATACAATTTTTAGTCCGTGAAACTCCGCAAATTTCGTAAAAAATTTTGAGATTTTATATCTTTATTTACCAGTTTGTGTAATTTCATGAAATCTCCATGAGACCGTTTTTTTAAGTAGCGATCCGAAAAGTAGAGGTTTCTACCTGTAAAATACTTTTTTAAACATACGACAATTTTTGACGAAGTTATCTTGAAATTTGCCTATTTTTGCAGAGTGAACAGGTGTTGCGTTAATTTTGTTGCCTTGTGTAATTTTTACAACTCAGCGTCAAATGTGCCTGTTTTTCGCGCTAAAATGAGCAGTTTGCATTATGTTATTCATACATCCGATCTATATCGTTAAATCAATAATTTTAGGTATGTAATGGATAATTTCCTCATAGGATAAAAAATATATACAGGGTGTTCCAAAATAATTGCCAAATATTTTGTGGACAGATAGATCGGATTAAACTGAGTCGAAAAGCCCTTTACCATTTTGTAATTTTTTTTCGCAATAGTTAATAAGATATTAATTATTAAAATTGCCGAAAATTGATCTCCAATAATTTTTTACTCAAATACTGTCAACATCAGATGTATGAATAAAAACGCAACACCTGTTCACTCTGCAAAAATAGGCAAATTTCAAGATACAATAACTTCGTCAAAAAAAAGAACTGCAAAAGGCAAAAATTATTTCCTTTTTTCTTATAAAACTCTAAGAATTTTTTCAGAATTTTTTAATACTGTATTTTCTTATGTTGGTAAAAATAAGAAAACGCGATACTAAAAAGTTGATAAAAAATTCTGAAAAAATTCTTAGAGTTCTATGAAAAGAAAATAAATGATTTTTGTCTCTTGCAGTTTTTCTATAAAATTGATAATATTTGAGTAAAAAATAAATGTCGATAAGTCAAGCCACTATGACCTAGCAATTCATTATTAATTCATATTAATTCATTGCAGTGTTTGATAATAAAATTGCACATTAATACAATAAAGTATTAATTATTAAAATGTTCCTTTTCCTCCTTAAAACATATTTTAAATACATATGTTTCTTTTCCTCCTTAAAACATATTTTAAATACATATGACGAATTATTGACCTAATGTATAGACTTTATTAACTAATGAAATAATGTGCGTTTGATCTGTAAAATTTTATACATATTTAATGAATGAGTTTACTGAATCTATGAACACGTTCATTAGAAGAATGAATTTTTTCAGATATATATCACCATTTACATATAGTTTATCAAATTATTATATCATTACGTATAAATTTTATCCATAAACGGATTGAACGATTAGAATATTTTTCAAAGAATATTTTCAACTTACCTCGCGTAGCATTTATCGAGGATCTTGACTGTATTCAGTTTACCTGCTCAAGGAATTGGTCCTATATATATATATAGATCTGTAAAATTTTATACATATTTAATGAATGAGTTTACTGAATCTATGAACACGTTCATTAGAAGAATGAATTTTTTCAGATATATATCAC